AATAAAAATATATTATAAAATTATTGTAAAATAACTTATAAAATTTCAAAAAAATAACAATTATTCTAAAAATTTTAAAATTTTTAGAAAGAGTGAGGGCCTTACTAGCCCCCTTTCCCCTCCGCCTTTTGTTGTTAAAGACCATATCACCTTGATAATTTCATTATTATGACGATTAAACTACCAAAGTGATTTTGAATATGATATTAAAATCTATTTTAGTGAATATTATTTATTTTTCCAATAACTAGTAGATATGATAATAATATACAAGTAAAATAATGACTTAATATATATATATATATATATATAAAGTAAAAGAAAAACGATACACTAATTTTTTTCTGTTTTCGTGTTTTTTGGATCATAAAATACATATTGTTATTCACCATGACTGATAAATATGTTTTTAATACTTCATGTTTTGCTATGAGAAATTCTTCATAATTTGAGTCGAATAGAAAAAGTTAATTACATAATTAAACGACCTTTCCATGCTTATGAAAAAGTGGAATTTCCCTTTTATGGCTTCTGAGCTTTTTTAAGTAGCATGTATACCTGTCAATATGTTGAATACCGAGGATATTTATATTTTATATTCTTTTTTATTGGATAATAATATTCATCTATTTACCTTTTAATAAAGATATTCAAGGATCAAGCTATTCGTCCAGATCTGCTTGTTTGACTTAAATCAAATCGGGCTTGTATAAAAATTTTCAGGTCCAAATCCAATCTGACTCGTAAAAATATTTTATTAATAAATAATATATTTTTATTTAAATTTAATTTTAAAATATTAATATAAAAATATAATACTATTTTAACGATAAACAGACGGGCTGAGCCAACTCGGCTTTCACTTTAAAAAAGGCCTGGTAGGCTCACCTTGATCCATGATCCATATGGACAATTTCACCATTGAGAGAAGGATGCAAAAGACCCATGACCCTTGGATATTTCTTTTCGAGTCATGTGGCGTGGAGGATTCGATTGCTTTAGTTTGTTTAACATTTGGCAACCACTTTCTAAAAAACATGTACAATTTTGGCACGCAGAAGCAACCGAGTGGACATAGCATACCAACCCAGATTCTGACCTCATCTATAGTTGGATTCAGTGGATGTCAACAGGATCATGAAAAAAATATAATTTCTGAGCATATTCTGAATTATAAAATCCTAGCTAAATTGTCCGGCCTTATGAGTTGGTGGCAGAGTCAAGAATTTGTGTCACTGGAGTTAATATGATAGTAATATCCTTATTATTTATAGTATTTTTAATTTTTAATATAACATTGAAAAAAATAAATATAGAAGAAAATATACTAAAATAAAATTAAATATTCTTTTTACAAATTATCAATAATTAAATTTTATTCCTAATCGTTAATGTATGCCAAAAGCCAATCCAATTAATTATAAGATAGATTCTTATTATATTTTTTATTGTATTAATTGATAAGGACTCTCTTTATCCATGAGTGCATTTGTAATATTATTATTTGCTTACAAAGATTTGTCAAAGGAATTATATAGATTTATAATTATGAGACTTTTATGACACCAAAACATTATTCTTAAATTTTTTTTTTCATTTTTTATAAAAATAAGATAATGATAAAATCAAAAGACCGGTATATGTTATATTTATCATTGTGAAAATAACAGCAATGTCATTGGTTATAGTAGAAAGATACTTGAACAACCATATAGATGTTTACTATATAAACAAGTTTACTTAACATGACTCGCTATAAGAATTCTATTTAATATTCAAGTCAAATATTTGTGTAAATAAATTTTCATATGACAATTGTGTAAGTAATCCTTTGAATTTGAAATTATCAAACTATTTTCTATGTGAAATGTATAAGGTGATATTGTCTTATGTACTGTAGTGTAAGATGTACAATGGAATGAATATTGGTTATAGAATGAAACATATATATGGAGAGAGATTAATGATCAACATAAGATTCATGGTCTTAATTGATTCTAAGGAGAATATCTCATTACTTATTGACATGTATTGACTCAAGAAAACCCTTAACTAAGGTAGAATGAAAATTCAAAAAGGAGTTATCGAATTTCATTACAAGAGTTAATGACTAGTTTCAAGAGCTAAGTAGCTAACATATATATATATATATATAAAATAGAAAATGAAGCATACTTTGTGTCTTACCAAGATATTAATTGATGAAAGAATTGAATTACATGACAAGATTTTGCATTGAAAGATTAAGTGAAACCACTTTGATTTTTCTTAACATTTGATTGGTCATGACACATTACTAGATGTTAATCTTTAAATTAAATTGTTTTAGAATATATGATATAAATTGATATAATGTTAAAAATTTTTTTTTAATTATTTAAAAAATTTAAAAAATTATTTTTTATTACCTTCAATCAAACTTCTGTATTTTTACTTTGAATCCGATTAGTTCTTATGATTAATGGTTTATTAATTATCATTAATTAAAATACTACTTGTCATTTTATATCTACATGGTATTAATATGGAGGGTAAAAAAAGTTACATGACAATATTATTATGACACATTAACATCACATGATATAAAATGATAAATGGTACTTTTACTAAATTTATCATTAATTATAAAAGTTTATTTGATTCAAAATAAAAGTATAAAAGTTTATTTAGTTTAAAATAAAAATATAAGGACTTGATTGAATGTAATAAAAATAGAAAGACTTATTTAAAAATTTTTCAATAGTTTAGAAAATTTTTTAAATATTATGTCATAAAAATTCAGAGAGAATGAGTGCTCCAACCCATGCCACCTAAGAAATTTCAGCCTTTCAAGCATCATTTTTATGTAATTCCATTACCTATTTATTGAATTTGTTAGATTTGTAAAAAATTTCATTGGAACTTTAGAGTGTATACATGAGAGTTCCCTTTCTTCTTATTAAAAATATTTAAAATTAAAAATATTTAAAATGAATTATAAATAAGGTTATTTTGGTAAAAGAACATAGTCCGTTTTCACTTGCTTCAAATCTAATAAACTTGGTTTAATTTGATTAAAATTGCAATGAAACTGATAAACTTGAGCCCTGATTCTAATATATCATTGACTATAAACATGACCATAACAAATTATAGACTATCTGAAAATTTCTAAGAAAGTTAAGTTTCCAAGGAATAACAACCTCTATATAAAGAAGAAATCTTCGGCGGAATAATATCTCCTTTGAATATATTAGCTAAATCAAGAAATTAGTCAAAAGCCAAATGATGAAAATAAGAAGAACAAATTGAAGTCATTCATGATTTAGTCTTGCCCTTGTTTCCCGGTACTGGCTTGGAAAATTTTTATCCGAGAATGTTGATTATTTTCAGTATAGAGGAATTAATGCGATGCCTAGGCCTAGCTTAAGGTCTTGAACCCAAGACTTGTGGATGTCAATTTGGGGCCATGATCCACCCTCGGAGTTGTTGGGATGTGATTGGTTGCTTTACTATCAATAACTGTTTCAACTACTTTTGCCTACTAAAGAGCAAATAATTCGGACGAGATAATGAGAGAATCACAAAAACAAACAATTCCAAACCTTGATTATGCTACTTGTTAGGTATTCAACATTTTTAACATCAAGATGTTAGCAAACTAATTACTGAGAGGTAGAAACATGGTTGGTTGAACATTTGTTTATTGAAGTAAAAAACAGTAAACTTCAATCTTAAGAAACTCACCAATTCTTTATCTATCAAAACTCCTTAAATTAAAACATAATCAATAATTTTCATCGTTCAATAACGTGATTTGAATTAAAAAAAATAAGATATTTGACTTAATTTCGTATTACAGTGTTATATTATTATCTTTTTACTGCAATTTTGATTGACTTAAAAAATAAACATCTCTTTAAATTGAAACTTGATCTTTGCTCTTTTCTATTTGAAGTGTAAAATAAGGGAATTCCATCTATTGGATACATAACGTATGTGAGAGGGTTAAGCTATTTGTTGATGTAGAAAACCAATCCTACCCGTCAACAAAGAATATTAGCTGTGCTTTGTCTAGAAGAATGAATAGTATGGTGATGGATAATAGCTCCAACCAGACTCCTAAAATGGTTAAATTAATCTCTCCATTGGAAGAAATTGAATAGGGTTTAGTACGGGAGAAAAGACTTTGGTTAGAATGAGAGGAGGTTAATCACCTTTTTTTTAGGAGAAAAACGCGGTTTTAAGGGGAAACTTTCTTATGGGACTCCTTAAATACAAACAAACAACTATGGATATGACAAGTGGGCATCACTTTAAATAAGTAACAAAGTTGTGGATGCATGTTATCGTAGCTCCGAGGACGGTAGAATAAGATGGTCATTGGACTAGCGGGAGGGTTGACGAGAAATGCAAAATGTCCATGTTGTATTTTTTAAGTCAGATTTAATTTAATTTTTTATCATATTTAAAAAAAAATTTGAAATTAAATCTGTAACTTTGAAATTAGATTAAAGTCTAAACGATACGTGGCATTATCTGATGCTATTTGAAAATAGCCCTCAACGTTAGAGGAGAAAATGTACGCAACTTAAAACCCTGTCTTGTAGCAAACAGAGTTGATAAGTGAATTGAAGTCTTTCGATTCTATACCTTGTTTATATATATAGATATATATATATATATATATATATAGAAAAGGAGATTAAGATTTGCAGCCTCTTATACTCATAAGCTTCGGTTATCAGAATAAGGAATAACATCTCTCAACTAAGTAGCTCAAGGTATGTTGTATTTATCTTATGTTTGGTTGAAGTCATGTTGTATGCTCTCTGGCAGAGGAGGCTGGGTTTTTATGATTGAAGAGCTCTGTTTTTACGCTCTCTTTAAAAAATATGTCGTTTTCCAACAACGTAGGGACAACCTTTTTGTCTCAAGTTACCATCGCACCCTAAATCCAGTCCAATCTTTGGGATAAAACCACGATCAAATTAAATAGACAAGATTCCAAAAAATCCATTGACTCCCCCAGCTCAAAAGTCATCTGCATGGAACTTTCCTGGCAATGGCACTCGGAAAAGACACGTTCACACTTGTGGTTCCATGTGCCTCACCCTTCCCCACCAACCTTGCTGACCTTACATCCCATTCCACAATTACACCCAAAAGCCTCCATTGATATGATAGTGAAAGGGAAGTCTTCTCGTAAATTTTCGGCTCAAAGCATCTATTTCTGCTGCCAATTGTAACTTTCATACTTATAAATCAACTCCGAGCCATACACAGAGAGGTAATTCTTTAGCTTATTTCATAAACTCTATTTGAAATAATCCCAGAATTTAAAATTCAGAGTTCTCAAATAGCAAAGTTAAGATGTGCTGTTTGAATGAGTGTGATGATTTTATAAGAAAAGGCCATGATAGGTTACACTTTTTGGTTCACCAGTAATACAACTACAGGTAGAAGATTTTTTCGTTTTTTATTTAACTTTTTTTTAAATTATTTTTATTCAAAAAAGTCCTTTACTCACCAATGCAGACGACGACCCAGAATCCAAGGGTCGTTGTGGAATAATAAATTGGTCTGATGCCTCCGGATTCTAGCTTTTCTGGTGGCGTATGCTTGGCGTAGAGATAAATATGATTTTATAGACTAAACTAATGAATTAATGAATTCATTGAGTGAAATGGAAAAGTGACACAAAAGAATGGCAATTGACAAGTGGTGGGGTTTTATTGCTGGTGAGGTTATGTACATGATTCATGTATATATCACTTTCTTAATTTTTGATGAAACTTGGGTTAAAACTTTCTTTCATTTAATGAATATAGAATACTTATCTGTAGTCATCTCTTGCGTGTTTATCTATGGAAAATCCACCTACAATTCTTCTGCTGTTGTCTTTTCTTGATGTTTCTTGAAGTCTTCAATTACCAAATCTACTTGTATTAGGAACTTCTTTTTAATTTAAAAAAAAAAAGAGAATTTGCCGGAACTTTCCAATGGTCTGTAACCTTTGAACCGGTCAGTACCAGCAGCCTTTCTGCATTTTGTTAGTCTTTATTTCATATCATTAAATTTCCAAGGAAATTTCTTTTGCCTGGAACATTTATATACTTTGTAGAATTAGATTTTATTAACTGTAAAACCTTTCATATGCTTCACCTTGTTCATTTGCCAACTGCTGATTCAAGGATCAAGGATATTTTAGCAGGTTTTAGGTATTTGAGCAGGAGGATTTGACCATATTCAATTGTAGCAGCCATCTTTTTCCTATGAAAGGAACCAGCTGGCGATGATTTTTAATTGCACTTTATTTGGTTTGCAGGAGGAGATATACTTTCTGTCTGTGTGAACTCTTGGTGTAGCTTTTTGATTTGTTAGATTTTATTGGTTATGGGAAGCAAAAGCTCAAAGGAGTCCAGTGGCGGAAGGTACCCAACAAGCAGGTCAGCTGGTTCAGATGCATGGAGTCATTATGGACAACCACCACAATCTGCTTATCCTCCAGAAAATTCTTATTACACGCCGCAGCATCGATATGCTCCACCTCCCTCGTATAATTATGGATCACGAACGCCTCAGCTGCATAAGAGTTTGGAGAGAAAATACTCAAGGATAGCTGATAACTACCAAACTTTGGACCAGGTTAGCTTGTTGCTGCTGCAACTGTTGTAAGATTTTATCTGCTCTGTTTTTGTTTTGGTTCATATGGAGAAGGGGTGTGATTGGTGTTAATGGTGAATAAGAATATTTATCCAGAATGAATTGATAAATATGAGCACTTGTCAATTGACATGACAGCCTAAAGAACATGATTGTCAAACACATTTGGATGGAAAGCAAGGCTTTCCTCTCAGCTTTTTCTGTCAGATATATTGCTGTTGAAAATATTTTGAGCCTTTAGATGAATCATGTATAAATGATAAAAGGTATCTGGATAGGCTGTTGAAAGTTAATTGGAGTCCCTGACAAGAACTTCAACAGGACAGCTTGTGGTTTTTCAGTTTAATTGTCAACAACAATGTATTGTCTTTCTCCCTTTTGACAAATTGGCAGTGGTAAAAATTGCTTTTTGCTAGTTTCTTTTATATTCTTTAGCCTATATGTGGCTTCTTCAATCATTCAGTTGCACATCTGAAATTCACCCTTGCTGCAAAATATTTATTTTTCAATCGACAACTTTTTGTGCTTCACAAAATTATAAAGTTTGTGACATGTTCAGCCAAAAAAATTGCTGATCACAGGTTACAGCTGCTCTTGCACAAGCTGGCCTTGAGTCCTCTAACCTCATTGTTGGTATTGATTTCACAAAGAGCAATGAATGGACAGGTATTACTTGTTACTTATAAATCCCATCTGATGCCCATAACTTTTTAAAGTGTCTCCAGTGCACCATGCTTAACTTCCATTCATAACCAGGTGCCAGGTCATTCAACCGTCGTAGCTTGCATCACATTGGGAATGGTCAAAATCCCTATGAACAAGCAATATCAATTATCGGACAGAGCTTATCCGCTTTTGATGAGGATAACTTAATTCCCTGTTATGGATTTGGAGATGGCAAGTTCATTGAAAGTGTTTTCTTATTATTCTAAATTAATTGAATTCACTGTTTGGATTATGAAGATGATATTTGCTTCATATTTTTCAGCATCAACACATGATCAAGATGTCTTCAGTTTCTATCCAGAAGAAAGATTTTGCAATGGATTTGAGGAGGTGCTTGCACGGTACAGAGAAATTGTCCCACAACTTCGACTTGCAGGTGCCTGATTTTGTTTGATCCCTTGGTTTGTTCATGTTTTATGCACCTTGAAGTTGAATGAGTTGGTTCTTACAGCAAAATCTTTATGTTTGCTTATGGCAGGACCAACATCTTTTGCACCCATCATTGAAATGGCCATGACTATCGTTGAGCAAAGTGGTGGTCAATACCATGTTTTGCTGATAATTGCTGATGGACAGGTAATTTATAACAGTCTCTGAACTTAGATAGATCACTTCAGTTTTTATGGCATATGAAAGAAGATTACAAGGAATTTTGCTGACTCAATAATGAATGAATTCACTAAGATCTTGGAATTAGAAAAAAAAAATTTGAGACTTTCTGTGGAAACTTGAACAGAATAACGAAACTTTCCCATTACAAGGGTAGATCATGTTAATCATTGGTTTGGGCAGTACATGAAATTAGGCCCTGACTAAATTAGAAGATAGTTTATTGACAATACTTGCTCAAGAGTAATGGATACTTATTGGAAAGGAAAAACATGTATGTTATTACTACCACATGAGGTCAGGAATAAGCAACAATTGTTGTGTTGTCTAAGACATGATGCTAGCAAAGAAGGGAAACACCGATATTTAACTTCAGCGCTATCTAAACATTCAATAAGATAAAAGTGGCGAAAAACGATCCATAGAATATACAGATTTGCAATTGAAAGCTGCTTTTACTGCCAGTCTTCATAAGGTAACTCACTTCAGATAATTTACAGAAGTAAAAAACACTAGAAGGCACATCCATTTGATAGGGGGTCTCTGCCTCTCTGAAGCTGAAGTGAGTCTGATCATTCTGATAATGATTGGAATAAGAACTGTCAATAAGATAGAACTTTGATCTTATGTATGTTGTAGGTGACAAGAAGCGTTGATACACAGCATGGTCAGCTTAGCCCACAAGAGCATAAGACAATTGATGCAATTGTAAAAGCAAGGTAATTCTTATTAACTTGCTACTTGCTTTAGGTTTCTAACCACCATATCCTCACATGGCCATTTGATTGCAGTGAATTCCCCTTGTCAATTGTCCTGGTTGGGGTTGGTGACGGGCCTTGGGACATGATGAGGGAGTTTGACGATAACATCCCTGCTCGTGCTTTTGACAATTTTCAGGTGAGCAGGTTTTGATGTCTTTTGTAATTGTTGGAAACTGTGATTTGCTACTGTCTTTGAATGTTCTTAGTTGTTAAAAGCCACTTTTCTTTTGCCTTTCTAGTTTGTGAACTTCACAGAGATTATGTCAAAGAATACGGATCCATCCAGAAAGCAGGCAGAATTTGCTCTTTCAGCTTTGATGGAAATACCTTCTCAATATAAAGCAACTATTGAGCTTGGCTTATTGGGGTAGTTATCAAATTTGTTATTGACTGCTTACTTAGCAATTATCTATGTATAATTAATTTCTTCTTGTTTTCTTTTATTAATAAATCAGAAGAAGGAGGGGGAATACTTCAGAGAGAGTTCCTCTCCCTCCTCTTTATGGCACCTCTTCTTTCAACACCCCAAAGTCTTATTCTCGCTCAAGCAGTTTCCAGCAGAATGCATCTCCTTATTCGCGCTCAAGCAGTTTTCAGCAGAATGCTTCTTATTCGCACACAAGCAATTTTCAGCACAATTCACCGCCTTATTCTGGATATGATACCTCAGCTGGCTCAACCACAGGTCCATCTTCAAGTTCCTTTTACGATCATCAGGTATGCAAACCATTCTGTTGAAATCACATCGATGTCTAGCATTATCATTTCATGCCCGGCCACGACTATCGTTTTAATACTAGTTATAAGGTACTAATCCCTTTCTTTCCGTTCTGTTCACAAACTTGACAGGTTTGCCCCATTTGTCTTGGTAATCCCAAGGACATGGCCTTTGGTTGTGGACATCAGGTTAATTACCTTCTCTATCTTCCATTGTTCTTTCGAGGCACAATCTAATATATGGAGTATTGATATCATATTTTCGTTTTCCTACTCTTTTGAATCCTTCAATTTGACAGACTTGCTGTGACTGTGGAGAAGACCTCCAGCTCTGCCCCATCTGTCGGAGCGCTATCCAAACTCGAATCAGGCTTTATTGATCAGCCTCCCTAATCACATTTTTTGGCTTGGCGACAGCTGAATCAGAGTCATCTTCCAAAAACAAGGAAAGGTTAGCCATTGGTTATAACCTGAAAGAAAAATGTTTCCGTTTATCGTGCTTGAGCTTTACCACTCACGAAGCAATTGTAATACGTACATGGGAGGCCTATTTTTACACCTGATGCGTCCCTTTGGGTTGGGGAATGTGGTTGCAATCACTACCTGAACTCTGTGCTGCTCGCCTCGTAGAGATTAAAACAAACTGAAAGCTAAGAAGTAAGGGGACACGGCCAGTGGATGAATCTTGCTACATTGAAGCTCTCCAATTTGTAAATACTTTCGAAATGGGGTCTAGACTCGGATGAGAATTTTGCCCCGTCAAAGCAACTGATGAACCCAAAAACCATGGTCGAATCACTGGTTAAATAGACTCGGATCCTTGTTATTCCTTTTTCCTTGTAATTGTTTGTGATTGTTTCGCTTCTTTTTTTCTTTTTCATTTTGCTTCTTGGCTTGCGTCTTTCCCCAATCAGGGATACTTTTGTGGATGTGAACTGAATAAAATCTCTATAAAAAGTCATTAACCATTAAAACCTTTTTTAGACTTACTCTACAATGTGATGGATGACTAGTAACAGTTTCCATCCATTTTTTCAATCACATTTGTAAAGGTAACCTTCTGTAATTTTGGCCTTCGGATGAGCAGAGTAACTTGGTTCAAGCCTTTAAGGGCCAAAGCTGCACAATCTATTATGTAATTCCATATCTGAACCATTTTCTTCCCCAGAGTAGATAATAATATAAACATGACATAACCACCGTGGGGCGCTTCCTTTTTCTCATAAGGCGTTTTTGCCCTACTCTTAACACAAGAAGTACAAGAAAATATTTCTCGCCTCAGTCATTTAGTAGAAATATCTGTTTGGTTGATGATATGAGTCTTGGTAATCTGAGTCAGGCACCATGACACTTGATAACAAAGAACCTTGCAAAGCCCTTCCCTCTGGTTCTTGAAGGAATTTCCTATCTTCCAAGTAAGACTGAATCTCGGCCATAATAGGCCTCAGCTCTGGATCTTCTTGGGCTCTCAAGGCATTTAGAAAGTTCTCGGAGATGATATTTAGCAACTTCATGAACTGAGATTTGTATTTTCTGAAGAGAGCAAAGCCTGCCATCTTTAAAACCATAGATCAACTATTAACCCAGTGGAAATTATATATCCACTAACCAAGCAAACTCTGTAATAGTTTAAAAGTTTAGAATGCTGAATTTTTGTCCCTTTCAGAAACCATTTAGGTTCTTTAATTTGGATGGCCAAACAAGAATTAATCCAATTTTCAAAACTTTTTCCTACATGTTCCAATTTCAGCGATTGATGGTATGATGGCAAAAGTAAATTGAGAAGTGCATCAACTTACTTGCAGAAATGCATTCAAAGCCACAGCAGTATAAATATTGGCAGGGAGTGCATTTAGGAACCTAGCAAGCCATGCCCAACCTTCCTTAAGCCCATGAACATTTTGGCCACCTGCAACCTCAGTCTGCCAATAATAATAACTCTGGGTTAGCTGATTCCTTGTTAATGACTTACTACAAGTAGAGAGGACAAGAGTATCCACATACCTGAACCAGTGCCCCATACAGCTTCATGTAAGATTCCAACCGTTTCAAATAATCCTTGGTACTTTCAATCTTCCCATCGTCTTCTCGGTATCCTATAGCCTTCCAGTATGCCTCTTTCGATTCAAATGTCGACTGAAATAGCAAATTACTACTTAGAATCCATACAACAAAAGAACAGAGGAGAGACACACCAGAGACAATTCATTTATCTATATTTTAACTTTTCAGAGAAGAGCACAAGACCTTAGGCATTTTTCATTTTTAAATGGAGGGTTAAAACCAAAAAGACCCTAAAAGTTCAGCCAAACAAACATAATAAGGTCAAAGGCGTAAATGTTTAACTGGATTGATCTATAAGCCCAAATCATGTAACAGATATACAAAACAATAATATTAAGGGTAAAATACACAAACCCCCTTAAGTTTTGATCATAATTCAATCTGATTCCATTAGTATTGGAAATGGACAACCCATCCCAAAAGTTTATATATCATTGGACACATAGGTCCTGCTATTAGTCCACTGTTAATTTTTCCATGTATCTAATGATGTGGCATTAATTTGATACCCATTGTACCCTTTATTTACTGTTCATCTCCTCCGATAACCCATGAATGCTCTGCTCTGTCAAACTCTCAAACCTCCGTTTCTCTGAATGCCAATCCCTCCCCTCAAAACACTACTTTTCAAGTTTCATGAACAATTTTCTAAACAGATCCCAACCAGAAAACACAAAAAGATCTGTACACAGAAAGAAAACACCAGGTGCTGCCTTTTCGCGGCAGCTCTTTTAAACCTGTCTATACACTTTACAAAATTAACCCACTAATTCCTTCGGGCAAGACCACCAACTCGGCGACCAGCACCAATACCCATCCTCACAGAAAACCAGCCGGCAAAACAAAAATTCTCTTTAATTCACAATTACAAGTTGCAAATCAAATTCAAAAGTGGATAATTAATTGCATTGAAGAAATTCATTTTTGTCTTGGACATGGCTAGAAAGTGACATGTGGGAGGGTAGGTGTCAATCTGTTAAGCTGTTGCAGATTTCAATAGCCTTTTTTTTTTCCTTGAAGGCAATAGATCTGTTTTCATTTCAAGTGAAAAAATGTACAAAACTCTACCTTTTCGGTAGATGTGCAGCCAACCCCTTTAGGACATGACCCTATCAAGTGCCAAGAAAACAAAAAAAAAAAAAAGGTGCATATACAAGCTCTCGGGGAGGGTCAAAAAAATCTCAGAGGCCATAGAGTCATCCAGCCACAACCAAATATCCATTTCCCGTACAACCAAACAAAAACCACTGCTATCCAACTCCCTGTCGTCAGCAGCTCAAGCCCATAGAAGTTACCAGCAGTAAACACATCATTGTTCTAGACTTCTTGTTATGTATAATTTTTCAATTTAATTTTTTAAGCAAAAAGAAGAAAAATTGGCTACAGGGAAGTTGGCTAAACCTGTCAGGACTTCAACCAAGGAGAAGGGAAGGGAAGGGAAAGCAAAGGAAAGGAATGCCATGAGAGGGGAGAAAAAAGTATAGACTTTCAAAGAGAAGAAACGTATTTAGAGAAAAAGAGTTCAAGGAGAAGAAACAATTTGGGTATTTTACCCCAATATTAAAAATTAGTAATAATGCAGCATTTATATGATTTAAGTAAGTTATGACAAACAAATTCAAAAAAAGGAAAACAAGCAATTTGAGTGATTTTTCACTTATCAAAGAAAGCATAACCACATTTTTAACAAATGAAAACACTTTCAAAAGTGTTTAACTCAAAAGATTAAATAAACCAAGAAGGGGTAAATTGGTTTTACCGAATTATGAACTACTTTGAAAAAGCTCAAATTTTTGTGAAAGATCAATAATATTTGCAAGTAACAATGAAATATAAACACAAATAAGAAACTTGAAAGATTAAAAGAGTAAGGAAAGGAAAATCAAACTCAATAATTTATTGAGGTTCAATCCTTCATAATAGGCACCTATGTTCTTTACCTTAGCTTCCCTTGTCAAGGAGTTCAATCTGCTATATCTTCAACTTTACAAATAACTTTTCAAGGCTTAGGTACAACCTTCATAATATCCACTGAAACCAAATCGAATTTTCCAACCAAATCTCACAAATGAAATATACAACAATGGTGTTTGCAAACTAAAAATGCCTCTACAAGGTTGAGTGTTTTCCAGGATGAATATAATGTAAAACTTCGAAGAGGATGAAAAGGAACTAAATACACTAAACACTTTATGCACTTGATTTTCTGGAAGACAATTTTTTTTTTTTTTTGCTCAGCATTTTCTTGAAGAGAATGGGTAATTGATCTTTAAAGCTTGTTTGGAGGGACCCTTTCTATTCTTAGACAGAGTTTGGAGACATTGAGATTGCTGAATTTAATCAGAAAAGAGAGCTGTTGTTCCTTCAAAAATTAAACCGATATAGGCAGGAAATCCAAATGTTCGATCCTTTTACAGAAGTGATCAATCCCTTTATGCTTGGCTGAACTTGTAAGCACTTCTACTTGAGAGGGGACCGATCCTTTCTTTGAAAGTCCTTTCAAAGAAAGAATCAATCTCTTCGTGTTTGCCAACACTCCATAAATTCATAAGTGCTTATGCTTAAGAATTTAGTTATGATGAACTTCTTGAACTTAATGAAAAATATTGATTCTTGGTTCATCTATTACTTTGGTCAAGTTGTTGCTTTTATGATCACTAATTTAGCTTGACCTTAATACTCAAAAATATTATGTTGGAAACTTGACTTAAGTAGAATAAATTTATGGTTGCTTATCTAATCACCGTAGGTCAAAATTGATCATCGCCTATTCTTTCGGTTAACATATTTGCCCTTTTAAGTTAAAGATTGGTTTGTCCTCTTGGAAAAGATCTTGAATGGAGAATATGTCTTCCTTGAGCATTTTAATGTATACATGGCCTAAAAGTTTGAAGTGCATCTAACTTTTGCTTATAGTGCCACCGTTGAGTTGCTTGATTGTTGAATGCCTATAGCTTAAGAAGCATCTTAGAGTGTTCACAAGCACGAAGGGATCAATCCTTTTTTTGAAGGGAATGATCTCTTTTAAAATAGAAGTGCTTTGAAGTTCAACCAAGCACAAAATGTTAGATCCCTTCTCTAAGAGGATTGATCCTTGGGTCATTTCTTTCCTGTAACAGCTGGGATTTTTAAGGAGCAACAACTTTTCTCTCATTAAATGCAGTTCGGTGTCTCTAAACTTTTTTCTAAGTATAAAAAGGGTCTCTCCCAACACTATTGATGACAAGAGAAAAAGCTTTAAAGGCCAATTACTTATTCCCTTCAAGAAAATCAAGTGCATTAAGTGTTGAGGGCTCAAACTTTCAAATTCATTGCATCCAATTCCTTCTTATCCTCTTCCAAGTTCTAAATTGTATTCATTTGACAAACACTCAATCTTGTAAAGTCATTTTTAGTTTTTAAAAACAGTTATTGAGTATTTCACTTTTTTGAAGTAAGGGGAGAGAAAACCCTTGAGAGAATTTGTGAGATTTGATTGGAAAATTGACTTGGGTTTGAGTGGATATTATAAAGTTTACATTTATCCCTTTAAAAGGTGTTTGTAAAGTTGAAGACATAGTGGATTGAACTCTTTAGCAAGGGAAGCTAAGGGACAGGACATAGGGACCGAACCTCTATAAATTCTTGAGTTTAATTATCTTTTCCCTACTCTTTTTAATCATTTGAGCTAACAAAAAGATTTTCAAATTAAAAGTGCAAACCATATATGCACAATAATAATCTAATAACATAAACCATATCAAAGAAAAGTGAGATGTAGCTTGCATAACAAGAAACGCGACACTTGACGGACCATTTTAAATTGAAGCAGATTGTGCATCAAATTGTCTAAATTTGTGAAGCTGCTTTAATTATTATGAAGTGTTCAGAAAAATTATATAAAGACCAAGAAAAGTACACTCAATAAATTTTATAACTTCATGTGATGGACTGCTTTCTCCCTAACCTATCATCCTCAATCAACTTGGGAAACAGGGATGAGTTTCAGGGTCAGTGTTTTATTAGTGCAATTTTACTAACCTCGAAGAACACTTTAAGCTAACCATTTTATGCCACATCGGAATGCAAAAGAATAACAAATGCCTCATGTAAGTTGATAAATGAGTTACCTTTGAGTATGATATATGCTTTGGGACAGTGTAAATGCAAGCTCTTTGTAGTTCAGCAACAAGAAGATCCATTGCTTGTGGGAACTGGTGAACAAGGATAATTTTGCATTAGTAGTTAAAATAAGCCCTAGAATACAAGTATATTATGATGACAATAAAAAAGAAAAGATGACTTATATATTATAAGCCACTCCATCAATGATGAAATACAACTTCTGATTCTAAGATCAAATGAAAAGGCCATGCAAAACCAACTGAGAATATAACTATTTAATGTACCATAAGTACTGGAATTTATGTATTTTACAATTAAACACTAGTCATTTCTCCTTCTAATCCAACTGATAAATATAATATTCATGTTTAAGAGTTTGGCTTAAGTTCATCATTACATCCCAACCGCTAAAGCAGTCATGCACCAAAGACATTTACACAACGGAGGAAATCAAGGCTTCTGAAAAGGTAATTAACTAGATGTAATCCTCATGACTCTAATGTGAGATGACAAAATTATAGCATGCCAATGCCTAGTCATAAACTTCATGTGACAACAGTGCAATATCTAAGTTGGCCTGTGAAGAGAAAGAGGACTTGTATAATGGTTATTATGATTCATTTGCTCTTTTCACACCAACACCTCCCAGCCCCCAACATCTCTCCCAAATGACAAGAAAAATAAAACTATAAAGATGTACCTGCGATGTTACGAGGACAATGACATGACCACAGGCAAAGGCAGCATTATCGGGGCTTTCACAGTGAGAAACAACCTGAGGTCTCAACAATAGAAATGCATGTTCATAACCATTAGGATTTTTTCAAAATACAAGATGTTGCAGTCAAACATTAAAGAACTAGAATTGGTGGGTCTATAGGAATTATGGTTCCAATTGATTTCTGAGATATACGAGAAACATATACATGTACTATTGACAGATTATATGGTCCTATAAAGAATATTTGGGATTGTAATTAGATGCATGCATGGCCACATTACTTTGTCATTTCATTATCAGGCTTTCACAGTGAGAAACAGCCTGATGTATCAACAACACAAATGCTTGTCCATAACCATTGGGATCTTTCCCAAAAAAAAAAAAAAAATTACAAGCTGAAAGCACAATAGCTGTGCATTGCGGTCAAACATTCAAGAACTAAAATTGGTGACCTATAGGAATTATGGTGACTTGCTCCAATTGACTTCTGCGATATATAAGAAAAATATGCATGTACTGTAGACAGATCACATGGTCAAATAAAGAATTTTAGAGATTGTAGTTAGATGTGTTAATGGCTACATTATTTTGTCATTTCTTTAGAGAATAGAGAACTCTCTCAAGGTATGCATACACTTCGTTGTAACAAGTTCTTTTGCTTTCGATGCAAAACCAGATTTCCTAGTTTGCCTTTCTATTAATTAGACTTTTTGTATATTTTATTAACTTTACCTTCCAGGGAATACGTAAAAATCATTTTTCTATAATGGGAATACAAAAGAAAATAAATGAAGAAACAAAGAAAGAAAATGGCACATCCTTTAGAAAGAAAGAAACAAAATGGGACATCCTTTAGGGCTGAATCTGATTACCTTCTTAGCAAAAGATGCAATGCTGATGGTCTGAGGGCAACGGGGATTGCTGAAAATCTTTATAAGCTCACTGGCTTTTGTTCTGCAAAAGATGGTTTACATGTAGGCTTATCAATCAAACAGCATCATGAAACTTTAGAAACTGAAATTCAAGTATAATTGCAGTGAACATCAGCAATAATGCAGAAAATTGTAACAAAAATTGACTAAGACAACCTACTAAATAAAAGAACACATGCAGCTCACCTGACATTGTCTTTTGTACCCCTTATTTGTCTTATCAGCCTTGCAATATGCCTTTCAGTGCTGCCAAAATCCTAAAAACAAACAAGAGTACATAACCAACTAACTGATACATACAAACAAATCAAAACACAGAAAAAAAAAATTTTCTGCGCTGAAAGAGATTCCCTAATATTACATACAAATAGAGAAGATGGTGAGGAAGCCAAAACAATTTCCAGTAATATAAACACATTTCTACAATAAGGACCCTCCTCTTTATTTAGTAATTTATTGTTCTTCTTTTGAGAAGAAACATATAATTTGAATGTATATCTTAAAGGTAAATATATGCAGCTCAATATCAGAAAATGGAGGAAAATAGAAGTAACAAAATATTTATTAACTTATAAAGGCAACAGAATCCACAGATTACAAATCAAACATAGATCGAAGATATACCTCATTTGAACTTGATCTCAGTGATTGGTTTCTTTCATCCAACTCTTTTAACTTTTGTAGTCTTTCCCTCTCTAGGTTTAAAGCACTCTCTGCAGCCCTGAGCATGTTACCTGTCATAATTGACAGTTGGCAATGAGATTAGTGTTAAAATGTTAGGGTTTAGGGTTTAGATTTAGGGCTATGTATGTACATTCTACGCAAATATGCATGTGAGTGTTTGTAAAGCTGAAAATTCCTTCATATTGGATAAGAATATACCTCCTGAATATGAATTCTTTGTTTTATCAGTATCAAAGCCCTTTGGCTGAGCATTTAAAACTACTGAACTAGTCGCCGTTGGGCCTCCTAAAGCTTCTGTTTGTGACACTTCAGAAGTATTAGCTTTTGAGGCTTTATCTGCTTCCCTTTCTGCTGCTTCTTTTGCTGCTCTCCTCTCAGCTTCTGAAGCAACTCTTTTGGCTTCCTCAGCTTTAAGTTTAGCCTGCATCTAACACATAAATATCTAAACCATAAACAGAATATCTTCCAAATCAAAACCCTAAAAACTAGAAGTAACTGGTAAAAGGAATAAAGTAGTGGAAAAATATAGTCATTAGAAAAATAAAATTAAGATTTCTTCTCTTTTCAGAGTTAAAATCTTTCAACAGGGCTTCATAAATGGAGCAGAGATCTACTATCAGGAAGCATAATGAGAGCACCAGAATAAACAAACAGGAAAAAGAAAAGAAAAATAACAAGAAAATTAGCTTGAACTCTGGCAATAACCAAATTATTTAAAGCTCAATTAAGGAATATTGGAGAGCATCTCTGATTTTATTCTCTTGCCCAATGGTAAACAAAAAAGGCTTTCAACGGAGAATGAGCAAAGTAATGAGTCCCACCGAGTTGTATGGAACCTAATCAAAAACCTAGGGGTATGAGGCAGAGTCTTTGCAGTACTAACCAGCCCAACTATCATACTTTTATTATACTTATGTACTTTGATCGAATTACAGTGGTCTGGAGGTGTTCAAGATTTAAGAGACTATGAAAGGTTGTTGTATTATCCTTTTCTCTAAATCCATCCCTCTATGGATGTATGTCAATGAACTTAACCAAGTAATTTTGTCCTAGTTTGTTGTCTTTTATTTGCCACTACAATGAAGCACAGCATTCATATAAAGGAAGTTCAAAGAGTACTAAAATACAAGCAAGATGACCAGCAGCATAGCTTGAATTCTAGTAATAGCCAAGTCCTTGAAGTTCAATCAAACAAGTTTTCTTAAAAATATAGTTACATGCACAACAACCTACCAAAAGAGAACTTCAGCTACATACAGAAAGCCCAGTTAGTTCATGAACCCAAGAATGCACAAAATAATACTTCTAGTTGGAAGAACAAAAGATACCAAAAGGTGCAGTGCCACATACACTGCAGGTCTATTAATACTACATTAAGGGGCTGTGTAAACAAACCTCTGCCTCCGCTTTGGCCTTTTCTTGGCGTAGTCTTTCTTCTTGAAGAGCCTTTTCCCTTCTCTTGGCCTCTGCATGTGCCGCATCACTTCGTATTTTCCTTTCCTCTATTTGTGATTTGAGTTCATGGTCCCGCTGGATGGCAGTCAAGTGATTATCAAGTGCTTCTGCACTGCAGTAATTTGATGAATTTTAATAAAAATTCTTTCCAAAATAGCAAGCAGCAATACATGGTCTTGGAAGCCCTTTAAGCTTTAACAAATTCATCCATTATATTCTAATCCAAACAGATTCCACCTTACCAGTCATTCTCAATTACTTTTAATAATCAGATATAGTAGTAGTTCTTAAAAATGAGGATAATGTTTTGCCAGATTTCAGTTAGCATGTCTATAATGAAGTGTCAAACCGCATCAAGAGATTTGATCCACTCCAGACTAACAAAGACAAAGGTACAAGGAAAAAGGGGGAAAAGAGTGGGGAGAGGCGTGATCGAGAAAAAGATCCAATTCATGAAACTATACTTTCCAAAACTGAACAGTATTTGAGTGAATAACAATGAGAAACAGGAGATGCCTACTTACATTCTGCGTTGATACTGAACATCAAATTTCCTCTCCACTTCCCGCCTTGCTTCTCTATATTTGTCAACTTTAGCATGTGCAGAGGAAGACTTTTCGCTCTCATTCATGAAATCTGTCTCTAATGACGAAATTTTGCTCCTAATTTCCTCCTGTATTTAAGTCCATTCCAATGCTACACCATAATCCATAAAAGAATGATAACAAACCAAAAAAGAAGGCAAAGAAAAAGATCAAGTTCAAAAAGAAAACAATACAAAAGCACTCTTCAACTTGAGCTAATCCAACACACCTTAACTCCGAGTTGATGCTCATGGGTTAACTCAACTAAAGCACTCTCCACCAATCCCACCTCATTCATCAAATAGGTTTCTACTTGAAGAGACGACTCATTGTCAGAATCATCACTGCCACTGAAAGTTAACAGGTTACAAGGAACTTGTGAAAGTTCATCTCCTTGACCGTACACTCAAATAAAAAATTTCATATTTACTACAGTTAAACAAATTGGCTAGGATAATCCCATACCTCAAATAAAATTCATCGCAATTAAATCGTGCAGCTTTTGCTGAGCCTCGATCATGAACCTCCTCAGCCTCACCTTCACTATCCTCAAACTCCTCATCAGATATTCTCATTACAAATGCACTTGGGCTCCTCTTGATGCCATTTTCCCCAAAAAATTCTCTTTTTCATAAATTTAAAATAAAAAAGAAAAAAAATTGCTTAATTCTATTGATACAAAAACAGAAATTACGACGAGAAAAAATAAAGAAAAAAATACCTTGATTTTGTTTTTGTAAAAGGCAAAGGAACAGAAGAAGAGACATTGAGTTTCTTTTCCAAGGAATCAATCTCTGATAACAAAGCATCGAAACTCCAATCCGGGTCGGGTTCAAGACGGATTCCATTAACGGTTTGAGGGCAGCGAATTTCCAACTTAACAACTCCCCTGCAATATCATGCAGTTTATAAATTTTTTTTTTTCAAAAAAGAAAGACCAGAAACTAAAATTTCAAAATAAAAGCAAGAGAAGAAATTTAAACTTACATTATGAAATAACTTACGGGTTCAGGGGATTTATAAATTAAAACCCTAATTCAGTTGGGAGATGATAATGAGTGTGAAATCCTAGAACCCCAAGCTTTTGGAATTCCCAAAGCGAAGCGCCAATGCCGATTTCACTGTAACGACATTCCTTCTTTTCACTCCATGGACCGGATCACTTCTGTTCTTCTTGAATCTGGATTGATTTGGATCGGATTCGGAAGATCCATGGATCCACGTCGCGGATTTCTCGTACATTAACGGTTGGGTCCATTGGGCATTTTCAAGGTCCTGAGTAATTAGACACGATGTAACCGATGGGCTTGAAGCCTTAGCCCATATGTATTCAAATTTCAATGGCCCATAATTTTGTGTGTTGATACTTATTTCCCAAGTCAAAATGTTTCTTTCCCATGAATACCTTTCATAATGATTTTAGAAATGATGTCGCCATTTTAAACATAAGCCATGGTCAATGTAAAGAACATAGAGTGAATATGTTTTCCACCGACTTCCTTCTTAACTATTTAGTTCAATGTGTTAACTTAATTATCTTTTATATTTTAAAATGATCAAAAGAAATGATCAAAATTTTCACCTAACTCACAAAGAATCATAGGTCTCATGTTCTCAAATAATGTCAAGGAAGTTTGAGAGAGAAAAAAAGTTAAAACAATTATGAAAATGCATTATTTTTCAAATTTATTGATATATGTTCTTCATATATCAATACATTTAGATAAGTATCGATAGATTCCAACATCTATCACTACATGTTCTTCAACAAAAGTCAAAACTCAAAAATCAAACTTAATTTATTGATACATCCTCAATTGTATTAATAGAATTGAGACAGAATGCATACTAACCTAAAAGTATCGATACATTTCTCAAATGTATCGATACATATTTAAGTAGATTACAGAGATCTTTGAAAGTAAGTTCAAATATATCGATACATAAATAAATGTATCGATACAACTCGACGGAAATTCAAAACAAAAGGTAATATATCGATACATTAACATATGTATCAATACAATATAACCATTAGAGTCTTCTATAAAGAGAAAAACAGCTATTTTCACATTAAATGCTCTCCTAACTACCCTCGAAGTTTCAACAACTATAAATACAAAATTTCTCAACATTTATGAAGGTTAGAAGATTTGAAAACACAATTCAAGAGAGGAGAATTAGCCAAGATATATTTAAAACCTATTGTACTCTTCTTAAATACAAAAAGTCTTCTAGTTAAGCATTTATTAGGCTTTCATTCTTTCTTTTAAGTATTGTACCAGATTCTTCACTCAGCCATTAAGAGGCGCTTTTGCTATATCCATATTTCTCTCATTGTATTTACTCAATTGGTTATACCTTAACCAATAGAAAAAATAGAGTGGTAGTGCTTTAACCATAAAAAGGCATTGTATTGTATAGTTATACTTGAACCACAAAAGGCATTGTATTGAACTTTTTGATTGGATAGTGGATTTTAAACTTTTTAGTGAATCTAAAGGAGAGGACGTAGACAAGAAGGCCAAGCCTCTATAAAACACTTGTGTTAATTTCTCTACTATTCATTTTACTTGAAAATTCAATTCTCTTTCATTGATCTAAAAGCCAATAAGTTTGTTTTCTTTTTAAACTCAGCTTTTGAATTAGAAAAAAGATTTTGTTCAAAAAAGAAAATAATTTTTTCTAATTTCTTAAAATAGTCCAATTCGTCGTTTTTGGACCTAATCATATGAAGCTAATTAACCTAACACGATGATTACTAAATCTTTAAGTTCTTATCCATTGTTAGTAATATATAACACCTTTGATTTAGTATTTAATATCAAAAATAATAAAAGATTATTTTTGATAATCAAAATTAGCATAATCCTATTATTAGTGCACACATAAATTTCATATCAAAAATAAAATAAGAAAATTCAAAACAAATAACAATTTTAATTTAATCAAATGTGGAATATAATCTTTGTATTTTACAATAAAATGAAATCATAGTTGTTTATTTCTTTTCTTCAACAAATATACTTCAAGACTCTTGATGACTTAGCCTTGAATGAACATAATTGATCTCATTCTTTGAACTAAAATGACATTAAAGAGCAATTTTCTTGAAAAAAAATTCTTAAAACCTAATATTGACTTTTGAAATTTTTTTACTTCTATAGAAGTGGATAATTGGGGAAATTGAAAGAGCGATACACTCTGTTGGTTGAGTGTGTGGCTGGGTTGCAAAGTAAAGGAATTCCAAGCTCGGGTTTTGGTTTTTGTTAAAGGGAATTGGTTTTGTACAAAGTGGTTATGTGATCATAGGGCAATGAGGATAGGGATAGCTTTATGTATGCAAAATGGTGGACTTATGTGCAGTTAATTTTTATGTTTTCTATCCTTCAAGGATGGTTGATATGACTGCTTTTCTATAGTTATTTGGGTGAAATGGGTTTCTTATTTCTTTGATATGTTATGTGACTTTACTGAATGTCAAGAACCTATAATACAAGAAGAAAAAGAAAGCATTCTAGAAATAAAGAGAAAAAACATTTAGTAAAAATTGATTTTGTATTTCATTACACTTAACAAATGAATACAATCAAAACGTTTGTATACAAGTGGTTAACTAGCTAAACAATACTAAACTAACTATGGGAAAGTAACTAAAGTAACTATTTAATTTAATCACATGCTCTAACACCCCCTCAAGAGGAGTATGGATATCGAGAATGCTTATCTTGTTGAAAAGTGACTGGAACTACTTTGGCAGTAATGCTTTTGTAAATAAAGCTACTATTTGAGAAGTTGTATTTACATATCTAGGTTGTATAATTTCTACAAGCACTTTCTCTAGAATAAAATGACAATCAACTTCAATATGTTTCATACGTTTATGGAAAACTAGATTTTTGCTCATACTTAAAACTAACTGATTATCACATTTAAGCTTAATAGCATTGGAATGACGAAATCCAAAGTATTGCAAAAGATATACTAACCATATTATCCCACAAGTAGTAGTTGACATAGCTCTATATTTAGCCTCAGTAAAACTCTTAGCGACCATGCTTTGCTTCTTCCACTTCTAGCTTATTAAAAAATCATTAATAACCCATGACAAATCTTCTTATTGATAAACAACCAATCTAGTCACTATCACAATAAGCTCAAAGTTGTAGGATTGATAAAGAAGACAATAATATTCCTTAACCAAAGGAGCCTTTTAGATATTTCAAAGTTCTACGTGTTGCCTGCAAATGAATATTTCTAGGTTTGTTCATAAAATGTGACAGCACCTGTACTCCATACAGGATATTTGGTCTAGTAAATGTCAAATACAACAATTTCCCAATCAATTGTCTATTCTTGGAATTATCTACCAGCAAACCTTTATCAGTAGCTATAATAATTTTTTGATTATAATCCATTGGAGTAGATGTAGGTTTTGCTCCCAATAGACCATATTCTTCAATTAAATCTACCGCATACTTTCTTCGACATAATAAAATTCTTTTTTTTATCTAGCAATCTCTATCCCAAAAAAAGTACTTAGAAACACCAAGATCTTTTAGCTTGAATTTAGATTGTAAAAACTATTCTATGTCATTCTCAACTTGTACTAAAGTACTTGCAATCAAAATATCATCCACATAGACTAAAGTGCCATAAAATTACTATCATTAGTCCCTCTAGTGAATAAAGACTAATCGAACTTTGATTGAACAAAGCCAAATTGCAACATAGTTTTTGTGTACTTGGCATTCCATTGCCGAGAAGCTTATTTAAGGCCATAAAGGTGGCATTTGGTACTTATAACGCAATGTGATTACAAATAATGTGATTGCAACTAATGTGATTGTAGGAGAGATAATATTACATTGTTTGATATACAAGCAAAATAATGATTAAAATACAAAAAAGATAATATTGCAGCGTTTGGTTTATAAGTACTTTGCTGGGAATATAACGTCAATTTTAAGAATTACCCTTATTTATTAAAATATAAGTTTAATATACTTGTATTTTTTATTGTTAATTTTATATAATATAATCTCTTAAACGCTCCTATCGTGAACCAAAGGCCAGAGAGTCGTGATGCCAAGGAGAGTGAGGTGGTGACGCTGGTGAAAAGAATGCACCATAGTAATCTAGAGAGCACAACGCCGCGGTGCGACAAGCTGAGTACCATGTTACAACTTATGAGCATGGTGCCATGAGCATGGTGCTGTGGCGCTAAGGAGAATTTTCAAAAATAAAATGTTATAGGATTTTTCTCATTAGGGTTTTTGGAGACTATTTGAGGGACCTTTGTTAGAGATTTTCATATAGAGTTAACAAGTAACTATTTTAGAAAAAATGTGTGAAAAACAAAGCAAGAAAGCAAAAGAATTCAAAGGAGAATTGAGATAAAAAAGCTTCAAACTATTAGTTTTTGTCTTTATTTTTGTTTTTCTCTTAATTTTTTTGACTTGGATTAATAGCTAATTTTCTTTCAATGATGATTTTTTTGGAAATGTGAAAGGGAAGAAGTTATATTTCTCATTAAAATGTGATCGATGTTTTGGATTAAGGCTAGTGAAAGGATGAAGTCTAAAGGATAATGGTTAGTGGGCTAAATTTTGGAAAAATCTAGTATCATCGCAGCAAGCAGCAACATGTAATGGCTTGAGTTGGTTTTTCTCAGGATATATGGAGCTTAAATTTAATGTGGATGCAGCTCATGAAAAATCAAGTTTGGATGGTTATGTTGGGGTCCTTTTTGACTTTCAAGGTCATATTAGGGGTGTATTCTATGGCCCTTTGAGTGTTCAGGATTTAAATTTTGCTGAATTGATGGCTATTTATCATGCTTTGAAACTTTTGGCATCCAGTTTTTAGGTGGGTTTTTATAAACTTATTGTGGAATCGGACTCCAAGGTAGCAATCTCTTGGATGTTAGAAAGAGTTCAAAAACCATGGAATGTGTGGAGAACTTTTAATGCAATTGATCAACTTTGTTAGGCCATTGGTGATATTCGGTTTAATCATACTTTTAGGGAGGTTAATACCATGGCTGATTCACTAGTGAAATTTAGGATGGATAGAAAAGAGATGTTCTATGCATGGTGGTAAGCTTGCTTTCTATGCAATTGTGATATGTTTGACAACCCTTATTAAGGCG